ACAAACCCCACCACATACACACCCACGTCCTACCATACACACACACCCACACATACACACACCACACTGCCATACAGACACCCCCACACAATATACAAGACTAAGAATTTATTTTTGAGTTTTATGCAATCACCTCTATATACAGTCCACAAACACAAATCATGACAAAAATATTTTTTGTAATAAAATTAAAATATGTTATAGTAGGTGTTTGACTTGATGTCTGATTTGGTTTTTTTCCTGGTTCTAAGATGGCAACCCCACTTCCAAAAAGAGTATTTCCAGCAGGCAAGGGGAAGGACTACTGGAGGCAAAGGTCAGGGGTTAGGGGTTGGACTTCCCAAGGTGGCAACAAGGGCGCAAGGCGTCCGTTAAGGGGCAGGGCTACCCACGTGGCCCTCGACAGCTCGCCAAAACTCATTAAGTGGCCCTCCACCCTAAATAATTGCCTGCCCCTGATTAAACATGAAATTTAGAGGGTTTACAACAAGATAAAAGCCTTTTTTTATACCACATATTTATTTAGGAATCTCCATAGTGTCTGAAGCCGAGTACACTACAGCCCAGCAGAAAACTAGCCAGCCTATTAAACAGTAACATCTAAAAGCCTCACTGCTATGAGGCGATGGAGTATTTTGGAGTATTTGGCTCACAAAAAGTTCTCAGCCTTCAGCTCTGTCATCATTCAGTGACTGTTCAAAACCACGGAAGATGTAGATGAAGCCTTGTAGCTGCCATGTTAAAAATTCAAACGATCTGTACAAAACTCCTTTCATCTTTCTAGCTGAAGGAATCCTAAGAGACGCATTGGAATTGGAAACCTGAGAGGAGACTGCTTGAAGTATCTGGCTACCATTATACGTACATTAGAGGTCACCATCTCATTCTCTTTGGTCTCTTCAAACAGCTGACAATTCTTCCACTGCACTGAAAAGCAGTTCAGTCTTATGAACCGAACCCTGAAATGCATGAAAGCATCTTAAACTCTAATCATAGCTCTAGTCATTCACTGCAAGGCCTTTGCTTTTTCTTCTACTGTGATTTTCTCCCTGAGTAAAATTATTACCTAAAGCACCCAAATGATTCTCTTGTGGACTAATTAATGTTGACGTAGCATTTTTAAATGCATAACATTACAACATATAGATGCTAAGTTATCATCAGTTGTCTGGATCTGCATTAACCAAAAGAAAATGCATATATGTGATATTTCTAAGCAACTACTCAGTGCAAGAATCAGTGCTTACCATTAGCTAAGCAAAAGGATTCAGGCTCAATATTCAATCGTCGACTGTTAACTTGTGCTCTTTGTGCATATTGGCTACCATTTTCTTGCTTTCTTATAAAACAGTCATTCCAGTCTTGTTACAAAGAATCCCAAAGCATGCAGCATTCCAGATAAAAGATTAAGTACAGCTGAAACTACTCTGGATCGATTCCACAATGAACCACTCTCTCAAGCAGCAAAAAACCCCAACATTGTAAATGAGAAAAACTCCCTTGAGAGTTGCCATGCTGCCACTACTGCTATGGGACCAAGTTGGGGCCAGACCAAACACTCTCCATGCCCGAGGCTGGACTGGGGACAGACCCTACTAGAGCTGGAGCAAGGGTAAGTGGTGGAAGGAGTTGCAGGGGGCAGAGGTGGCAGGGAGGAGATAGGGAGAAGGGGGATCTGAGGCTGTGGGTTGGGGTCAGGTAGCAGGGGGGAGCAGAGGTGGCGGGGGGCCAAGTGGTGCTGGTAGACAGGCAACAGGGCAAGGTATAGGGGGGTCAAGCCCCACTGCCTCCCCTACCACTAGCTCCCCAAAGACTGCCCCTACTGTCTTGCTCACCACCTATGCCCTACTGCACCCTCACTGCCTGCCCTCCTACTACCCCTCTCAACAGCCTGGCCCCTGCCACTGCTTTCCCTGACACAGCAGTGGATGGGGGGTGGATTTAAGATGACCCTCCAATAATTAGACATTACACATGGAAAATTATAACAAATTTCATAGTTTCATAGTTTCATAGATTTAGGGTCGGAAGGGACCTAGTAGATCTTCTAGCCTGACCCCCCACCAGGGCGGGAGAACAACAAAACCCCAAAACAAAAACGGGACTCAAATGAGTCCAGCCAGGTAGGCATCCAGCCTCTTCTTAAAGACCCCCAGGGTAGGGGCCAGCACCACTTCCCTTGGAAGTTGGTTCCAGCTCCTAGCCGCCCTAACTGTGAAGTAGTTTTTGCGGATGTCCAATCTATACCTCCTCTCCACCAACTTGTGCCCATTACTCCTTGTTATGCCAGCGGGCGCTAGGGGAAACAGCGTCTCCCCCAAACCCTTCTGGGGGAAGGGTTTGTAAATTGTAAATTGTAAATTTTCCATGTATAGAATCTAGCTATTGGGGGCTTGTCTTAAATTCAGGGACATCTTCAATTTGGGTAAATATGGTATCATGGAGAAAAATGTAAAAAGTGGAGGAAAAGATAAAGGCAGATCTCATAAGGAACAATGCAGCATTGCTGAAGGAGAGGGTCTTATTTCTAATTTCTATGATTTTACAGAAAAGAGAGTGAAGAAGGAACAGGGAAATGGAAATAAGTGAAAGAAGTTCTCCACCAGCAAACTTCTTTTATATTACTTTTGTTTCATTTATTCTAAATGAGAAGGACAATTTTAAGATACTTTTAAAGAAGTAAGAAATATGTTTAAACTAGGTGCAGTCTTTAGACCTCCAGCAAATGGTTAGCATAGACCTTGTAGCCACAAAACTTCCTCTTTTCAGTATATTACTGTATAAAAAATAGTAGAAAGTAGAATGTACCCCTATTTTTATTTGGTTTCCTTTCAAAGTGTGGAATCCTTCTCTCTAATAATGATATATTGGTTGCCTAGGAAACCACTGTAGGATGAGTTTTGATTGGCTGCATTATCAGCTTCATTCTTAGAATGGTAGATATAATTTAAAATGGTGCCTGTTTTTGTGCTTTTTTATGGACACCCTGAGAAGTTAACTCTCACTAACTAAACCAATTGTTCAACTAACTAAAACAATTGTTCAACTATTTAAGCTTTGTGGCTGCTGTTGATTTCATAGATATGGCTTGTACAGCAGAAAGCACAATGTTTTGCTTATATTATTTTTTTTACAATTAAACTTCATATTCCCAGAAGCAAAACCAAAAAAAAACTGTGGGAATTATATGCTAAGAAATCTCTTCTACCACCCTAATCACATGAGATGTGCTTATTCATAAAAGCAGTCTAAGTGAACTCAGTTCTCCATGGAGGAGGAGCTGAGCATTCATAAGTAGGTGAAATCTGCCCTGCTTTTAACTCATTATACCTCATTACCTAATAGAGAAGCAAGGGATCCAGAGCTGTAGACAAACGCAATGAAAAATACATGTTGAAATCAAGAGCTTTTTGTTTTACTTCTAAAACAATAAACTATTCACTTTAAATTAGTATCTACTTCATAGAAAAATCCCATTACCAGGAAAAAATAACCACTTTCAAAGTAAACACCCTGAGAAGAGTATCACCATGAAGAAATCCTTGAAGAAGTCAGCTTTTTTATTTTGTGCATTACCCAGGATTTTTATGCATTGTAAGCATTTCTTTTAGCAGAGGCAAAAGGCTTTCGCACAGGCCCACACAGTCTCACATTCCATTTATTGCCTTTGTCCCAATTTTCTTCTTTCATTATACCATGAAAATGCCTGTTGTCATTAGCATACAGTTCTTCTACTGTGCCTAAGAGCAAACCTCTCCTAAGTGCAATCACAAAATATTACAATTAGACAATAGTTTCTTTTTTTTTTAATCTATTTACTTGTATTCACTGGAGTAGGCGGTGATTTCACTGTCATTGTGCAACCATTTAAATTCCAAGGGCCAGCTGCCTTCAGCAAGGCATGTGAGGACAAGACGGTTCCCCTCGAGATGGATCTGGGGCATGCCTGGCTCAGTCTTGAAATAGGGTGCCACATCATCTGAAACACAAAAGCAGAGAAAAATATTTTGATAAAATAGAAAAATCATCCATTACAAGCCACCAATATGTCAGCCCTTTCCTTTAAAATGTTTAGGAAAAAGATGTAGGTGGTTTAATAGGGATATCTTAACCTCTAAGAAATGTATTGCCGGTTAAAATGCTTTTTAGTTCAAAAGTGCTAAAAAGCTCAGGCACCTCCTTCAAGCACGCTCTTAAAAGATATCTAGTTAGAAGGCAATAACAGTGGATGATCTGGTACATATTTTTAAGTCTCCGCTCATCGGAAGTGTAAAAAAGAAATGTACATAGTGTCTATTACACGTAACATGGGTCATTTCTATTAGTTTTTCACCTTCACAAGCATTAAATCCACTCTCAAAACTTTGAAATTCGTTTTAAAAAAAACAGAAAACTAAGTCTAAATGGAGAATGATTACCACAACAGAACAAGTCTGCCGGTAAATAAAGAATTTTGATAAGGAGATGCTGAGAACAAAGCTTCTTACCAAATCTCATGGTTAATATCGTCCAATATTGTCACGAGTCAAAATATCCTAAATTATACTTTCAGTTTATGAACGTGGGGGTTTTAATAATGTTGAAAGGTCACACAAAGCTTTCAAATTCTTATTCGCATGTGGGTCACCACTGCTAACAATATTCGACGAGGTGAAAACAGAAGCAGAGTTCGTTAGTATGCAGGCTTTTGCCCGTCTTGGCCACCCAACAACTGAACATCAGTTCAGTTTGTTATCAGTTCAATCTACACAGCTTAGAAATGCCTGTGAAGACCGAATTGATTCTGCCTCAGGCTTTTTGAACCTCCATACTTAGCTTTAGGGGCAGATTCTCAACTGGTTTAAACGGAAGTAAACAGAGCTATGACAATTTACACCAGGGAAAGAGCTGCCTCTTAATCAACTTGGGTGAAATTCAGAATTTCACCCTCTGCATCTCAAATTCCATCTGTCACTTGTGTGTTGTTATTTTCTCTACCTCACATGGGTGCAATAAGAACAGATTAATTAGTGAGTCTGAGGTAGTATAAATACATGCAGACAGATGTCTAAGGAAACAATCTAGCCCTTAAAGTTTAACTAAGTGGTTCTGCACAGGTAGCAGCAAATAATATTTTCTTCATAACGAGCATCGAGAAGAAGCTCTGCTGAGAAATATTTCTGGTTATCAAATAAATGTCATACATTTTATACATTTTTTTTCTTTCCTCTTAAACACTCTGGCACGCCTCTCAGTGAATAAGCAAGGACAATGATTCTGAACACTTTAGATCAGTTTAATAAGCATCAAAGGGTGACATCCTATATGAACTGTTCGCCAGACAATTTTTAAATGAATTTCACTCATAATTTCATTTTTAAATTAAAAATTGACAAGTACAGTCTATAATTTATAGGATACAATAAAACAAATAAAAACATGTTGCCAGAGTCTGCAAATACTTGAAGTATCTATAAGGCATTTTGAAAAGCTAAGGGGACAAAAAAAAATTGCAGAAAGTTTTGACACTGACATCTAAGCCAAACTTCATTTTTATCCCAGTAAAGTTAAACTTCAATAGTTAATAATAAAAGCTACAAAATTAAAGATGAGCCCCAGTAATAGAATGCATATTGCTCTCCAGACCATACAGTTTTAATGCAAAAAAAATCAATAAGGAACTGAATCAGAACTGTTTTTTTATATTAGTCAGATAACACAGTAAAAATTCTACAAAATTGGGCTCCTAACAATATTTTAATAAGTAACTACAACCATATTACTTTCCAGATCGCAAACTTTTAATACAAAAAATCGGTAGAAAACTAACTCCAAGCTGGCTTTCTACACTATTCAAATTCCAATTAAATGAGACCAGATTATACAACAAGGAAGGCTACAAAACATCCAAGTTCTACTGGGATAAGTGTATAAATACAAATGTTACATTTGGATCACAGAGTTTCAATACAAAGAACACAGAGACAGACAGCTAATAACATATAAAAGCAGATTTACCTCAACTATTTGGGAAACTATGTCTCTCTACAGTTTAAAATCATTCTGGTTAATTTTATGAAATTGCTTTATATGATGAAAGCTTGAAATTTCAGTGAATGAGCCCTGGGTTCAGAAAGCCCCGGTCACACACCACCACCCCACCCCAAACCGTCTGGAAGAAGCTACACGGCAAACAATAGAACTCATTAACTTGAACAAATTGCTCTGGCTGGATATGCTTGAGCTTGAAGGAAATCAGTTCAACCAAATCTATCCACAGGGATTGTAGAAAATGGAAAATCTCCAATAGTGGTGGAATCATGGAAAGGGCTTGGGACAAGAGAAAGGAATAAAGGCACGGGATTTTGGATGAAGATGGCAAAGGAAGCTGGCTGAAGGGGTCAGAGCAAACAGACTCCATATTCCAAGGCTCAGAGAAGAACGACATACGTTCTCTTGAATGCTTCTGCACGGTAAGGAATGGCGTCTAAGGGCATGGCCAGACGAGCGCAAAACTGCATGCGCCGCACATGCATGTGTTTGCTGCACTGCTAATTGCCAGCGCAGCAGGTGTTTTTGACACTAAAAAACCCCTGTGTCAAAAAAACCTTGTGGCAGAAGAAAGCAGCACAATGCATGTACCAGCAGTGTGCGCTGCCTGAAACCAGCGCCTGGCTGACCACATTCATTGTCAGCCAGGCTCTGTGCATCTTGATTGCTGCTGCTGGAGCCCCAGGAGGCACCCAAGACCATGGGTAAGGATGCTGGGGCTAGCCCAGGTGCTGTCCCCAGCCTCCCCTACCCCACCCAGGGCACCTTGCCACGTGCCAGAGCTAGCTGTCCCCGGGGAGTGCACGTTCTCACTCGACTGGCCGTGCCTTTGGTGTTTTATTGTTTTGTCTAGATCCGCAGATCTCTTATGTGATCTAAAGTAAAGGACGACTGGTCTTGGAACCTGTTGCAAAGTTTCTCTGTTACATGCTTCATTTACCTCAAGTTCCTGAAGAGGTAAATTGTAAATACATATCAGAGTGCCCTCAAAATTGGCGCTCCAAAGAAGGGACGCGTTTAAACAATTGGGAGGTCTCAGAGAGCTGACACGAGTTGCAGAAACCAGGCAGTTGAACTGTGGGATTTCAGCTTGCCAAAAGGGCACTTGACAGAAGATCTGCACCTCACTAGCAGGTGTAAAAGCCCAAAGCAAGAGGCAGTGTCTGAATCCTGCTCAAACCCAGGAACTTAAGGCATAGATCCGGCACAGCAGGACTTTATCACAGCAGTCTGGCAAGTGTCCAGAAGCAGGAGGTCAGCTAGACTTGTGGTACCTACCATATGGATGTACGGCTGCAGGGGAAATTAGCAGACACTCCTGCTGAAGCTCCTTTGACATGCAGGTGCCAGCAGTATGTTTTATGAAAAGATGTCTGGATCAACTTCCTGAACACGCTTCCTTCTTTGTTGCTAAAACAATGTTTATAGTAGAATACCAATATTACACCTAAATCATTAAGATACCTACAAAATGTTTTTACTAGTAATTCAGGCTTTGCACCTGTGCTTTGATTCAAAGGAATCCTAAATTGAGTTCTGTAATTCAAATAGTCACAGTTTCAGTTAAAAGATATAGGAATGTGTTGATGCAACATGGAACTTCAGAACTTTTCAGGCATAATAATAGCTTAAAATATAAGCTGGTGATATTGCTTAAGGTAATTCTGTGCCATAAGAACGAGACGCAAGAAAACAAAGCCCTGGTTTGGTAACCCCCACCACTCACAAATTAGGATCACCTGAAGACTCTTGGACTTGGATGCATGTGATGTAATTAATTACATATGTAAAATCATTATTATTACTGTATTATGAACTATTCTTTTCAGTTCTTTATTATTTAAGAATCCCTATTAAAATACTGTATTTACTCAAATAGACGATGAATCTGATTATAAGATGATCCACCAAAAATTAGATAGTATATATGGAAAATGTATATATTTGTTATAATTTGCAAGGTATAGAATCTAATTATTGGAAATTAGCCTTGAATTTGTCTCCCTCCCACAGCAGGGAAAATAAATCTTAGGGATCAGGTAGCCCCTTTGCTTTCTACTTCCCCCCCAATTTTTCCCCTAGCAGCCCCTCCCCCCTCTCCTCACTGGCAGACTCACCCCACTCCCCAAGCACATGGAAGTGAGGAGCAAATTTGAAAACAATAACCTTGAAATTAAATATGCCTGTAGCAATCTGTATAGAGTACTCATCCACTCAATTCATCCAGAATTGATGCATGTTAGCACAGGTACTCCATAAACACACTTTTAAGCACCACTTCGGCCCCTACTTACATGAAGTATAATCTATGCATGATATTAGTCCAAAGTCAAAGCTTGCAATTTCCCACATAGTTCATTGGGTTGTTCCCCACCAGGGTCAATGGCTTTTCAAGTCATGCTGACCCCACAGCTTGACACTGCTCAGTATGCGTGTATACTCGAGATACCCTGCATAAAGGATCCATATGCTAATCAGCCCCACTCATGATGGGAACTGGGTGTTCTTGTGAGTTCTGGGATGCTCAAAAATGTTTATGTGGATGAGGCACAGGGCAACCTGGGTTGGCTTCACCTCACGGAGTACATGGCCATGTTAATCATGCACAATGCACCAGGCTGAGAAAGGGGTTGCAGAGAGATTCTGAGTGAACTGTTTGGGGCCCTGTTTTCCAATGTCTGCCAGACATTTAAGCCTGGTAAAGAAACAGGAATCATTGGAAATGGGGAAAAAGGTGCAGCTTGGCTGTGGGAGTAGAGAGGAAGTAAAAATGTATGCAATGTAGTTGCTCACTATGACCTGAAAAACAGTTGGTGGTGAGGGGGACTGCACTTATGGGAACTACCTTAGGTCTTATTCAGATGGACTGCATTTACATATCCTTGTGGTAGGTTCCCATCAACATGTTTGCCTCATGTGGACCATTTTTTTTTTATAGTCATGCTCAGTGTCAGCTGCATTTAATCAGCTTCATAGTTGGTTTCCATTGCTGAGCACATGCTGTTTTTGGCAGCAGCTTAATGATAGGCAATGTATTTAGTGAGATGTCCTTGTATGCAATAATGAGGGCATTTTTTCCTATGCCAACTGGGGGGGGCCAAGGAAACTCATCTTGTACTTAAGTAAATATGGTAAACTCTGTTTCCCTCCAGCACCACATCTGTTCTTTTATTTGAAGTATTGTTTTTTATTGTGATGTTTATGTGGTTTAATGGCATGATACAAAATTATGTGGATCACTTTTAAGTACAAGAGAATTCCAAAGTAAAAAGAAACAAAGCTGTATCTCTCTGGACTTGGTAATGCATACTCACTGACAGCAGTCATGTTTCTTAATGTTCAGTCAGAATTTCTTTCATATGCAGAGAGGTAGTTAGCCATATTAGTCTGAAACCAGGCAGAAGACATGGTAGAGATACACTCTATAGATAGGGACCACTGGAATTTGGGCTGGAAGTGCGCTGTGC